TTTTATTTATTAAGGTTTTTTTGGCCATAGGATGCATGTGCTCTTTTTTTTTCTTTTTTTTTGCAGAGGTTTTTTGCTATAGGGCATGTGCGCTCACCAGACAGACAGAGAGAGACATAGAGACAGAAAGCGACAAATCATCCCCCAGGGGGGATGGTCACGCTGCAATCCCTTCTCCTCCATTCTCCTCTCGGGATCTTGGGCACGCACGCACATGCGCCCTGCGTGAGTTTTAAGCCATCGGATCTGGGACGCGAACCATGTTCGACTACGTGGGAGTCCAGTGACATAGCCATTACGCTAACTGCTGGTTCCCAGGATGCATGTGCTCTTTAGAGAGAGAGACTGAGAGAGACAGTGAGAGGAAAAGTGAGAAATCACCCCTCCAGGGGAGATGGCCATGCTGAACTCCTTCTTCCTTTTTCCTCCTGGGACCTTGGGCACGCAGATGCATGCACCCTGCATGCTTTTCTTTTTTTCCCTTTTTGCCATAGGGCACATGTGTTCTCTGGAGAGAAACAGAGAAAGAGAGATAGTGAGAGGAATTGCCTTGCCAAGATTTTGGGCATGCACACACGTGCGCCTGGTGTGAGTTTCAAGCTGCTAGGTCTGGGACTGGTACCATTGTTGGCCACGTGGGGGTCCAGTGCCTTACTACTAAGCCACCTGATGGTCCCAATGGTTAGATTTTTTTTTTTCAGTGCAGTATTTTTAGCTTGAAAATTTATTCCTAGCTCACCTGTCTATAGTGGTTCAGTACTTGCTGATTTCTTTTTTCTTTCTTTCTTTCTTTCTTTTTTTCTGATTTCTTTTTTCTTTCTCTCTTTCTTTCTTTTTTATTTATTTATTTTTTAGAGATTTTTGCTATAGGATGTGTGAACTCATTGGAGAGACAGAGACAGACAGAGAGACAGAAAGTAAGAAATCACCCTCCGGGCAGATGGCCACTCCACAATCCCTTCTCTACTAGTCTTCTTAGGGATTTTGGGCACGCACACACATGTACCTGATATGAATTTGAAGCTGCTGGGTTCAAGACTCCATCTGCAGTCAACCATGTTGGAGTCCAGTGACATAACCATTATGCTCTTTACTGGTCCCAGAGCTTACTGACTTTGACAGGGTTTGTCTCTAGGCTATGGGTTGTCTTAGTTATATGCCAGGTATCTACTTGTTCTGGGATCAGTAGCTACCCATGGCATGCATTTGTAATGAATGGTACAATGTTGGGAGTGCAAGAGAATGCAAACAAACTCAGTGCTCCTAAAACCTCCAGTTAGAAAGCTGAAATCTTGGGCCAGCAAAAGGCATAGCAGTTACGTTGTTGGGCTCCCACTGTTCTGACCCCGGTTCAAGTCCCAGACCTGGTGGCTTGAAAATCATGCTGGATGCGTGTGTGTGTGTGTGTGTGTGTGTGTGTATGTTTATGTGCCCAAGAAGGACAGTGGAGAAGAAGGGATTGTGGTGTGGTCATCCCCCTTAGGGGATGATTCCTCACTTTATTTTTCACTGTCTCTCTCTTTCTCCAGTGGCAAAAAGCCAAGCTCATGTAACTTTTTTTTAATGAGTGTTTTGTCTTAGGGTGCATGCACTTGCAGGAGAGAGAGACAGAGACAGTGAGTGGGAAATCATCTCCCGGGGAGAATGGCCATGCCACAATCCCTTCTCCATTCTCCTCCCAGGATCTTGGGCATGCATGTACACATGCCTGCGTGATTTGCAAGCCACTGGATCTGGGACTCAAACTGCTGTTGGCCATGTGGCACCATCTGGTGTTCCTTAACAAGTATATATATATATATATTTTTTTTTTTTTTTGGAGAGGTTTTTGCTATAGGGCGCGTGCGCTCGCCAGAAAGAGAGAGACAGAGAGACAGAAAGCGAGAAATCACCCCCCAGAGGGGATGGCCACGCAGCAATCCCTTCTCTTCTCGGGATCCTGCGCACGCGCCCGGCGTGAGTTTTAAGCCACCGGGTCCGGGACGTGAACCGCGGTCAACTACATGGGAGTCCAGCAACATAGCCATTACACTAACTGCTGGTCCCTCAAGTATATTTTTAAAATACTTAGACAAAGTATTTCTGTTCAATACTTGAATTGAATTTCTTTTTTGTTTTGTTTTTGCCTTCGCACCCGAAGGCAAAAACCTCTTTAAAAAGAAAGAAAGAAAGAGCCTGTAGTAACAGTATTGCCCAGAGTCCACAGAGTCAGTGGCCACAGCTCCATTTTCAAAGAGCCTAGAAAATGAATGAAATTGAAGACCAGATTATGCAGAAATGTCCCAATATATATATCTTGTATGTAAAATTGTGGGTTTTATGACAAAGTACCTTTTCATTCTTGGGTGGAGTGAACAGCAAGAAGTGAGATCTTTCTTCTTTCTTATTTGTATGTCTAGTAGTGTTTAGGGACCAAGGAAGGGAATTTGAATATTTTATCTTGCGTGCTACTGATCTGTCTTTTGAAAAGAATCAATAGACTATTTTAGAATTAGGTAGGTGAATGTACATTTTAAAACTGTGGTTAGCATAAAGAATCTTAAAGAAGACTTAGTTATCAGTCATTTACAAATTTGTTTCTAAGAATTATTCTATGACATTTTGTATTCTAATATGTATTATTGCATATTCATGAACTGAAACTTGTGTATACTTATTCTCTTGGATGGTAAGGTTGTAAATCTAGTGCTTGTAAGTTTTATTATGCTGATGATTGTGAGATTATTTTTAGTGCTTAGAAAACTTTTGATATCTTAAGAACTTAAATCCTGAATAATTATTTATTTCACCTTGTGGTTATGGGCAGGAAGAGCATTGCCTAGTACAAGGTGCTTTGATAATACTATTTAGGAGTTTTGGATTTAAGATAAAAAATATTGCTATAAACATGAACAAAGAAAAATCTCTGAGCACAGAGACTGGATTCTACAAGTATAAAATATAAAACTGGATTGCCTGAGAACCTTTTTTTAACGGATTATTTGTTTAATTTTATATCATTATTATTCTAATTTTATGTAGGGCATGTACACTCCCAGAGAAAGACAGAGAGAGAGAGAGAGAGAGAGAGAGAGAGAGAGAGAGAGGGAGAGAGAGAAAACAAGCCACTGGGTCTGAGATTTGAATTGTATTTAACCATGTAGAAGTTCAGTGCCCCAACTACCACTCACATGCTGGGTCCTGTTGTGAACCCTTTTTATTTATTTATTTATTTATTTTAAAAAAGAGAAATTTTTGCTATAGGTTATATGCACTCACCAGAGAGAGACAGAGAAACAGAAAGTGAGGGGAGTTGGCCATGCTGCAATCCCTTCTCTTTTCAGGATCTTGGGCATGCATGCACACTCGCCCAGATTGACTTTTTAAGCCCCTGGATCTGGGACTTGAACCACGTGTGAGAGTCCAGCGATGTAACCATTATTGCCATCTGCTAGTCCCTGGTCTATGAACTTTTCAAAAAAACTTTATTTATTTATTTATTTATTTATTTATTTATTTAATTTTTAATTTGACAAGAGAGGGACAGAGTGAGAGAGAAAGTAAGCAAGCTGCCAGGTCTGGGACTTGAACTGAAGTTGGCCATGTGGGAGTCCAGCATCCTTAACCACCACGCCACCTGCCGGCCCTTTCTGTGAACTTTTAATCTCCTTTGTGTATTTGTAATTTGGGTCTGCCCTCTTTGTCATCATTTAGCATGCTTCAGGTCAAGATGTTTCACCTCATAGTTTCCTAGGAGGGACACAGCTCTAATGGACAGAATCTAGCATTGTCAAGAAAGTATATTTATCATGCAAAACTTTCATCATGTATTCTAAAACTAACGTGGCTTATATGTTGTTTTAGTTTTTCCATACAGCTTCTCATTTCCTTTGGGATAATTGGGTTATCTGGAAATAAAGATAATTTACTAGCGCAGAGAAAAGAAGGCCTGTGGGAGGAGGGGCAGGTAATTCCATGGCAGCACTATGATTATGTGCCACTGCTAATTACCATGATGAACTTGATGTGCACACAGTGCTGATGAAATCTTGTGTCATTTTGTAGATATATACTTCTCATGTTTATTACACTGCAGGAGTAAAGTTTATAGATGGGGCAAGTATTACTCAAATTTTGATTCAAAAGGAGGCCCTTGGTATTGTGCTATTTTTATTTATTTTGAAAACAAAATAACCATTACTCCTCTTGCATTATTATTTTATTTTACGTTTTTTGCCACAGGGAATTTGTACTTGCTGGTGAGGAGAGAGACAGCTAGAGAGACAGTGAAAGGGAGAGTGAGAAATCATCTCTCACAAAGGGTGTGGCCGTGCTGCAATCCCTTCTTCTCCATTCTCTTCCTGGGATTTTGGGCCCGCATTCAGATGTGCCTAGTGTGAGTTTCAAGCCTCCAGCCAGGTCTGGGACTCGAACCACAGTTGGTTATGAAGGAGTCCAGTGCCTTAACCACTGTGCCACGTGCTGGACCCAGTAACAATTACTTCTTGTGATTACAAGATTACCAGTTTATGAAGTAAACTATAAAGTACAGGTGTAAACTTTATATTAAATCTGTTCTTAATTTATCTATGGATTTTATATGTTGGGTTTAAGAAGGCATTTGTGCACTCATGGTTATATTTAAATATAGCGTAAGTTTTTATGGCAGTGTAAAAAATATGTTAACAGGAAGATTTATAATATAAACCTTAGCAAATGGTTAAATTTATATTAATACTAATACAAGATGATGCTTTATGTTAGACTTTTAAGTGAAAAGAACCAAATATAATTTTATGTGTAGTATTTATCAAGTATATATACACTTTTTTTCTTTTTTAGAGGTTTTTGCCTTAGGGCGTGTGCACTCACCAGAGAGTGACTGAGAAAGTGAGGGACCACAGCTGGTCATATGGAATCTAGGGACTTAACTACTACGCTGTCTGCTGGCCCTTATTAAGTACGTGTGTGTGTGTGTGTGTGTGTGTGTGTGTGTATGTGTGTGTGTATTTTTCCCCCTCATGTACAGGGCATTTGTTCATAGGGAAGCCACACATTTTGTGCCCCTTGTCACAGTGACCTCAAATTCCTGTTGGGTGTGTTGTAAGCAGATGAGCCGCCATTCTCTAGGCCCCCTGCACTGAGCACGCCACATTACATATATTTTTTAAATACTTAGACAAAATACCTTGAACAGAAACATGTTCCAAATGATTAGGTAGATGTAGGGGAGTATTGTGTTGTAATACAATTTTTCTTTCTCCTTTGCTGGTGTTCCTTTTGCTTTTTCTTTACATGCTCATATACCTTTTTTTTTTTTTTAATGAGGTTTTTGGTTTTTGTCTTAGGGTGCATGCACTTGCAGGAGAGAGAGAGAGAGACAGTGAGAGGGAAAGTGGGAAATCACCCCCCCAGGGAGAATGGCCATGCCGCAATCCCTTCTCCATTCTCCTCCCAGGATCTTGGGCATGTATGCACATATGCCTGTTGTGGTTTTCAAGCCACTGGATCTGGGGCTCAGACTGCTGTTGGCCACATGGGAATCCAGCAACATAACTGCTATACCATCTGCTGGCCCTTATCAAGTATATTTTTAAAATACTTAGAGCAGCTTTTTTCAATACTTGAATTTCTGTTCAATACTTTAACAGAAATATGTTCCAAATGATTAGGTAGCTGTAGGGGATATTGTGTTGTAAGACATTTTTCTTTTACTTTGCTGGTGTTCCCTTTTTATTTTTCTTCATGATGAGCTCACCCCCCTCCCTTCTTTTTTTAAAGAGGTTTTTGCCTTAAGATGCAGAGGGAAAGTGAAAAATCACCCCTGGGGGGTGGGGTAGGTGCTTCAATCCTTTTCCTCTATTCTGGGATCTTAAGTATGCACACACCTTCACCCAGTGTGATTTTTCAAGCCACCAGGTCTGGGACTTGAACCCTGGTCAGCCATGTGGGAGTCTAGTCATGTAACTGCTATACCATCTGCTGGCCCCCATATTACTTTTGTAATGAGGAAAGTGTTCATTATTAGAATATATCTATAGCAATAACTTTGGTGGTCTTTATTTTTTTTGCCAAAGGGTGTGTGTGTTCACAGAGACAAAGAGAGAGAGAAAGGGAAAGGGAGACGGGGACAGCACCCCCAATATGGTATGATCATGCTATAATTCATTCTTCTCCATTTTTGCATCCTGTCGGGATTTGGAGCATGCACACGAATGTGCCCAGTGTGCTTTTCAGGCCATCAGAGGTGGGACTTGAACCTCTGTAGTTGACCCTGTGGGATCTGGCCTCCTTAACTGCTAGGCTATCGAGCTGACCTGATGATCTTTTTTTGGTCACTAATATAAATAATTTACATGTAATAAAAATAGATTTAGCAGGTGTGATATGCTCTATTTACCCTAGAGCCTGTACTTTTTTTCTATGATTTACTTAGTTGGAATGAAAAAGAGAAAAAGTTTCTAGTGCTGGAGACAAAGGACACCTTTTAATACATTTTCATATGATAATTGTTTTATACATATTATTTACCTTTGAAGTTACTTGTTTCAGGAAAGGAAAATATTAATTGATAATGGTACTTGAAATCTTTTATATTTAGTAGACTATGACAAGGGTTTCTTCTCAAAATAGAAAAATATTGAAATGAAGTTTCCTTTAGAAAATTTTATTTTAAATATTAACCTTTAAAACAATACTCTTTCTTTTCTTTGCTTCCTGACTAGGACATGTATTCCTCTGAGAAACTTTGGACAGCAGATTTTGGTTTAATATCTGATTGGGACAACATACGGAGACATTTCCAGTCATGAGTAAGTGTGCTTCTTTATTTCATTACAGTTACCTAACAGGAGCGTTTGTAGTATTGTACTTTAAAAAACTGCTGGACAAATTGGAATTTTGTTACCTCAATGATCGAATATTCTGATTCTGTCCAATACTGTCCACTTGTTGCTAGTAAAACAAGGAGATAGTTTCTGATGTTTGATGTATTATAAGAAGTTAGAAACTGTTATAGTCCATTTGTACTGCTATAACCATACCTGAGGTTGGGTAATTCATAAAGAAAAAGAGATTTGTTTCTGACAGTCTTGTAGGCTGGGAAGTCCAGGGTTGAGGGGCCTCTATCTGGTGAGGGCCTTTTTGCTGTATCACTCCATGGTAGAAGATGGAAGGGCATGAAACAGAGGGGCTGAGGAAGCAATGAGCTCATCTCTGGTTAACTAACCCACTCCAGAGACAATGGCATTAATCCATTCATGAGTTAATCACTTTTCAGCGCTGTTGCACTAGGGTGTAAATTTCTACCACATGATCTTAAGAGAAAACATTCACACCACAGCAGATGTGATTCGGAAATCTGTGCCATTCACTACTTGGCTGATGTAGTTCTTTTATCTATTTTTGTTGTTGTTGTTGTTGAGTAGTCATTGGAAAATGACTCTCTGGAAATACAAATAGGGAACATTGCAGTTGACCATAATTAATAGATTTTATTTTGTAAAATTTAGTTATTGGGTAACATGGACTAATTATATTTAAGCCCCCCCCCAAAAAAAAACCCAGAATCTTTTTATCATTTTTTTAAAGTTTATTTATTTTATTTTATTTCTTATTTGAAAGAGAGAGACAGGCATCCCCAACAGGGTCCTCATGCCATGATTGAACCTCAGTCTCTGCCAGCCTGAATCATGCATGCCTGGTGTGCCCAGGAAGGTTGAAGGTTCTGGCATGTGAGGATATCCTCATGTAGGACCAATTGCATTACTGCTATGTTACCATCTGCCCCATCAGTATTTTTCATAGACCAAAAAAACCCTGAAGCCATCCTGGATTTAGCCAGAACATGTTTAAAGTTTTTCATTTATGATAGGGAAAGCTTATTATGTGCATGTAAGAGAGGCACCCTCAGCAGGGCCTTATCATACCATGATTGGCTTTTTTTTGAGAGGTTTTTGCTATAGGGCGTGTGCACTTGCCAGAAAGACAGAGAGACAGAGAGACAGCAAGAACCACCCCCCCACACACCCCCTCAGGGGGATGAACACGTTGGAATCCCTTCTCCTCCATTCTCCTCTTGGGATCTTGGGCACATATACACACACATGCCCGGCATGAATTTAAGCCACCGGGTCCGGGACTCGGACTGCGGTTGACTCCATGGGAGTCCAGCGTTGTAGCCATTAGGCTATCTGCTGGTCCCAAGCATGATTGCCTTTTCTTAGCCCTCCAGCTCATTGATACGTTGAGTATGCCCTGTGCACATCCCTGGACTATTTCAGGTAGACTGGGCTGGGGATGTGGGACCAAGGTTGGCCATGCGGCTTCCAGCATTGCAGATCAGTTCAGTATGCTATTGGCCATGCCACTCAGGCTGGGCCCTAATGTTGATGTGAATTTTATCTTTTCAGTTGTAAGGGAATAGTATATGTAATATTTTCTGTCATAAATTTCTATTTCATCAGTTCAGGCTCATGTAATTGATCTCTCTTCTGTTGAATTTGCAGGGTTACTGTGGTCTGATCTTTCTGTTTACATTCTGGAAGTTAACATTCATTGTTACTGATCTTTCCAGTGTTGTCTCTACAGTTAAGTTGGCCATTCTCTTTGTTGTGTTTTATACTCTTATTTCTGTGTGTCTGCGTGTCTGACTTTAGTTCTCCTGGTGTACCACTCCTTTCAGAACTTCTCAAAGAGCTGGTCTGGTGTTGGTGAATTCTTTCAGATTTTGTTTATCTGAAAATGCTTTTGTCTTTACTTTCCATATGAAGGATAATCTTGCTAGGTATAGTATTCTTGGTTGTAATTCTTTTTCGCTTAACACTTTGAATATATTTTCCCATTCTTTCCTTGCTTTCCATATCTCCGATGAGAGGTCCAATGTTAGCCTGATAGGATATCCTTTGAAAGTAACCTGACATTTCTCAATTACCAATTTTAGTATATCTGTCTGCAGTTTTAGTCAGTCTGGCTATGATGTGCCTTGGAGAAGATCTTGGGTTGATTCTATTTGGGGTTTTATGTATTTCTCGTGTCTGGATATTTGAATGCCTCTCTGGGTTCGGAACATTTTCTTCTAGGATTTAATGGAATAGATTATCAATGCCTTATTAGTTTCTTCACCTTCTGGGATACTGATGGTTATCTAGTACTACTCGTATATCGTTCTAATTTTGGGGGGTTTTTGTCTCAGTCTTTTTGGTGAATATTTCTAGGTCAGAGTTTCTGTCTTCTACATCTGAGATTCAATCTTCTGCATGATCTAATCTGCTTTTAATTCTTTCAAGGGAGGTTTCGATTTCCTGTTACAGCCTTCATCTCTAGCAGCTCCATTTGAGACATTTTTATGGTGTGTATTTTCTTTTTCAGATAGTACAAGAACTTCCTCACCTCTTGGAACTTGTCTCTACTCCGGTATCTTCTGGAGTTTGTTATCTCTCTTCTCTTGCATCTCTGTTAGCTGTGTCACTATGAATATTCTGAATTCTTTATCTGACATTTCTATGACTTCTATTGTATTGTCTGTGGAGGATGAGGAGTTATTCTTTTCCCTTGGGGGAGAAATATTTTCTTGGCTTCTCATATTTCTTGTGCCTCTGCAGTGATTTCTGGTCATCTGATGGAGTACATGTTTTTCCCTAATTTTTGGAGTTAAATCTAAGTGTTCAGGAGGAGGTATTCTGCAATCTCTCTGCAGTTCTATTTTTCTCCCTTGGTGCAGCAGATTCCATGGGAATTGAGGATTACTCTGACCTAGATCTTGGGGTCAGAAGGGTGAAGGCTGTGCAGAAAATCTTCAGTTGTCCTAGTCTCTGAAAAAAGCTGCTCAGAGCTCCAATGTAGATGGTTTATGATTCCATTTTCTTCTACTTATTACTTTTCTTCTACTTAGTATCCCTGTTACAGGTGTGAGTTTTTTGAGGATAGGTACCCCATGTTTTCCATTTTGAATCTCAGTGTTTGACACAGTGTCTTTGTTTAATTGCCAGAGGGTGTATATACTTCTCAGGGAGACAAAAAAGAGAGGACCTTGCCATGAGTGTGTTCATACCACAGTCTCTTCTCTCCCTTTTCTTTAACCTGTTGGGATTCCAGGCATGTATACACACATGCCCAGCATGTTTTTCAAGCTGCTAGGCTGGTATTCTAAATGCTGTCAGCCATGTGGAATCTAGCTCCCTTAACTGCTAGGCTATGGAGCCAGCCCTGACACAGTGTCTTATGCATTGACCACTAAAAAAGTCAGAGTCTTAGGGCCAGCCAGGTGATGTGGTGGTTAAAGGGACTGGATACCATATGGCTGACTGCATAGTTTGAGTCCTGGACCTGGTGGATTGAAAAACACGCCAGGTACATGTGTGTGAGAGCCCAAAATCCTGAGAGGAGACTTGAGGAGAAAGAATTGCAGTGTGGTTGTTCCCTCAGGGGATGCTTTCTCTCTCTCTCTCTCTCTCTGTTTTCAGTGAATGTACTTGCCCTATAGCAAATTAAAAAAAAAAGAAAAAGAAGCCTAGGAGAAAAAGAAGGAAGTCCCGGCTTGTTAGATAAGTAATATGTATGAACCACAGAATGTTTTTTATTATTATTTTTTTAAATTTGCTATAAGGTGCATTAGGATATATAAGTGGGGATGGAGAAAGAAGGGATGGCCACGCTGCAATCTCTTGTCTTCCATTCTCCTCTTGAGATTTTGAGCACACACATATGCCCAGTGTGATTTTCTTTCTTTCTTTTTTTTTTTTTTCATTTTTAGAGAGAGAGGTATTTTTGCTATAGGGCACGTGTGCTCACTGGAGAGGCAGAAAAAGACAGAAAGCAAGTCATCAAACCCTCCTCCCCCTGGCGGAGGGATGGCCATGCTGCAATCCCTTCTCTTCCATTCTCCTCTGGAGATTCTGGGCACAAATGCACATGTACCCTTCGTGAGTTTCAAGCCACTGGGTCCAGGATTTGAATAGTGATCAACTACGTGGGAGTCCAGTGCCCAAACCACTATGCCACCTCTAGTCCTCTTAGCATGATTTTCAAGCTTCCAGGTCTGGAACTTGAACCAAGCAGTTGGTCATGTGGGATCCAGCTTCCTTAGCCATCGTTCCTTTGGCTGACCCCAACTGTTTTTTTTCATTTATTTTATCTATGTATCCACCTATCTAAAGTGTGTGTGTGTGTGTGTGTGTGTGTGTTTGTGTGTGTGCTATGGGGAGATGACCATGCCATAATCCCTTTTCCTCTTGGGATTTTGGACATGCACATAGACATAAGTGATGTGTTTTTGAAGTCACTGGGTCCAGAACTTGCACTGTGCAGTTGGCCATGTGGGATGCAGTGTCTTAACCACCAACCACGGCTGATGCTGTTTTATTATCTTTAAATTACAATGATTTTCTTTTGTGAGATTTTTTGAAAAAGAATTATTTATTTAATTTTATTGATTATTATTATTTTAATTTGTTATAGGGCACATGTGCTCACCAGAGAGAGAAAGAGAGAGAGAGAGAGGGAGAGAAAGCCACCAAGTTTGGGACTCTAATCACAGTCTGCCAAGTCCGGGACTCTAACCATGGTCCACCATGTGGAAGTCCGGTGTCTTAACAGCTGTGCCATTTGCTGGCCCTATCTTTTGCAAGATTTTTAATTGGTTCTTTTTTACTTCCACTAGTTTCTTTTAATTTCTGCCTTTTTTTTTTTTTTTTTTGGAAGAGGTTTTTGCTATAGGGCGCATGCGTTCACCAGAAAGACTGAGAGAGACAGAGAGACAGAAAGCGAGAAATCACCCCCCAGGGGGGATGGCCACACCGCCGTCCCTTTTCCA